AATCCATTGTCAGTATTCCTTTGGATAGAATTGGGGTCTGCTGTTCATTTTTCCAGTAGTATGTTGGGTTACTGTCTGGAAGAGCCTTTATCTATCCTAGCCAACAACTCGACTGAAGGTTTCGCCTGTCTGGCTTTGTTGTTTGTTGAGTAACTTTTAGTTATGTATATGTATGCTCTTATGATATTATGTTGGCCCCTTTAATCCTTGGTTATACTTCCCTTTTGGGTGTTTAAGGACATACCATTGGACCAGATAAACTGATTTGCTTTCACTCTTGAGGTCGTTTGAGGATCTGTTCCTCAGGGGTCCCGTGGGCTTGGGAGGAGCCCCTGGCTCTTTTCTTTTACCAGTTCCATGTACGTGCCTTTTTGTGAAGACATGAAGCTCAAAACACCCGTACTCATGCAGACCAGAATCCTCATCCAACAACAAATCTAATAGCTTTTAATATTAGACAGTTCGGACTACAGAATGGTGCAGAAATAGATTCTGTTTGTTATAAATAACTCATGTTTGCTTAAAGCATGAAGAATCAGCTAGAAGAAACACCTCTTACTAATTGTCATTGGATGTAATGGATCAATATACGATTGAATTCTCATGTCCATTTCCTCACCTCCAGCCATCTAACTATCATAGCATCATTCTGCATCTGTGTAATAAAGACAAACTTGGTCTCAGTGCTGAAAGCAGAATTCTGTGATTCTCATTCAGATAGTAGGCTTTGGGTCCACATGACACTGGTGTGCTGTCCTTCCTGTAACGGTTCTGTTGACTAGGCTGTTGCAAACTGGCAAGGAAGCTGATAACTGTGACAAAGGTTGTAGTGTATTTGAGCTATTTTATTTCTTTATTTTTATTTTTTTACAATTTGTTGTATTTTATTAATTTTATTATTGTTACTATTATTGTGTAGGCACAAGTTTGTGTGCGTGTGTGTGTGTGTGCATGCGTTTGTGTATGTGATGACTTTCCTGAGTCAGTCCTCAAGTCCTCACCTTTCACCTTGTTGAGACAGGGTCTCTGTTGCCATTTCATATTATTCTTCCTCACATTAGTGGTTAGAGTCTTCCAGCAGTATAGTGTCCATCCCCGCCTTTGCTACTACCATCATGCTTTGGTTCTTTATGTCAGCATCATGCTCCATAACTGATTTTAACTTTGATTGGCTTTTTTTTTTTTGGTATTTTTGAGACAGGGTCTCCCTGTAGCCCAGCTGTCCTGGAACTCACTATGTAGACCAGGCTGGCTTGGAACTCACAGAGATCCACCTGCCTCTGCCTCCCAAGTGCTGGGATTAAAGGTGTGCATTACCACGCCCCTCTTTTTTTTTGGGGGTGGGTGGGGGGTTCTTTTTGAAACAGACTCTCCCTGTAGCACCATCTGACCTGGAACTCACTATGTAGACCAGGCTGGCTTGGAACTCACAGAGATCCACCTGCCTCTGCCTTCCAAGTGCTGAGATTAAAGGTGCACGCCATCACACCCAGCATTAACTTTTAAAAAATGTATTTTTATTTGTTTTTTATTGAAATTTTTGTGTATTTCATACAGAATAGCTCAATGTCAATCATCTTTATACCCAAGTCCCTACTGGCACCCTTCCATAGCCCCCTCCTCCACTGGAACCCATACACTTGGTCATCCCTCTTAAGGCCCACAGGGTTGTCAGTGTCCCCAGCTGCTCCCCAGTGCAAGTCCATCCATCGGGTCTAGTCAGCCTATCTAGAATCTCTTGTTTTAGGAAGATCAGCTCTTTTTCATCTAGCAGCAGTCAGTTACCAACATTCCTTCCGATAAGACTGGAGTCTGCTGTTCAGTTTCCCAGTTCTATGCTGGGTTATTCTCTGCCTGAATTTGCACTGGACTTGTGTATGCTGACACCATTGCCATAGAATCATATGAGCAGGTTCCTAGGTGCTTGTAGGACTCTGTTTCCACACAGTCATGTACCTCCTCCCTGTCTCTTAGAATCTTTCTGGCCCCTCTTCCATGATGGTCCCTGAGCCATGGGTGGGAGAAGTTTAATAAAGGGGTCCTGTCCAAGGACCAGCATTCAGCAGACTCTTGATCTCTGCACTTTGGCTCTTTGTGAACTTTTGTGTTCCTGGCCCCATGCTGCATGAAGAAACTTCATTTCTGAGAACTGAGAGATTCATTATCATCCTCTTCATTATCCCTGTTGTATGTTCCATGAGCCTTAGGTGTAGAGGTTGCAGTGTAGATGTGTCACTCAGGCCTGGGCAATTCATTGACAATTTCTGTGTGTGGCCAGTTGTGGTACTTGGTAATAGTCTCTGACTGGTGCAAAATGAGCTTCTTTGATGAGTGGCGACTGGGATATTTGTCTGTAAATATAAGGGTTCATATTTTGCACATAGTAAGAAATCACATTAGTCTAGCAATGTTACAGTCTTGGGGGTTTCTCTAAGATCTATGACCACTCCAGCTATGTGTATTAGATTATATTTACATTACCACACTTGAGTTTCCTCCCTTTGAGTGGGCCTTTAGCCAAATTAGGTAGCTGTTGATTGCCCCCAAGATAAGAATGCCACTCCTGTACCAATGACATGTGCTGTGCTGGTCACTGAGGTGGTTGTTTGGTCTTGAAGCTGGTGTTGGATCATCCATTGATGTTTTCCCTTGGCACCTTCATAGTGCTCTCCAAAGCTATGAGAGCTAGCCTTCAGGAGAAGGGTTTCAGGTCAGTTGCAGCTCTATTGCTCAAAATCTGTGTCTGAAGTATGGTCTGTCTCCAGCAGTAGGGTCTTACCTTCAAGTTCTGGGAGGCCATCAAGGGCTGTGGCAATAGCCTGAGTAATTTGGGGAGTTTCTTGGACCACCCTGGCCAACAACTCAAAGGAAGATATTGCCTGTCTGGCACTGTTTCTTGTTATGCAGCCTTTAGCTATACACATGGACTCATGTAAAGATAATGTATATATAATTTGTCAGAAAGTTGTTGGACTAATATCATTGCCTCTGTTTTTTTTTTAACTAGCTAGGGATTATTTATCTCTTCTCTCTCTCTCTCTCTCTCTCTCTCTCTCTCTCTCTGTCTAACCCTTCTGCCACAGTTTCCCCATTTAAAGTGCCCCCATTGTCCCCATTTCTTCCTTGATAATACCTATCACCTATGGTCCCACCTCTCTTGAGCTCTTTCTTTCCCTTTACCCTCTTTCCCTTTAACCCTCCCTCCATCCTCCCATTTAGATAGCCCCGTTTTATCCATCTCTCCCTTAGTAACACCTGTTCCCTATTGTTCTCTCTCAGGTTCTTTCTTTTCCTTTACCTCCCTGGTTCCTTTTAGTTATCCTGTTTTCTATAGTTATGTCTGGATACATACCCACTTATAAAAATATGTAGCACTTCATGAATTTGCACGTCATCCTTGTGCAGGGCTATTATAATCTTCTCTGTATTGTTCCCATTTCAGTATATGTGCTGCCCAAGAGAGCAATGAGCTATCCATTTTAATTTTGAAATTGGAACTGAAGGAAATAGGAGAGTTGTAAATAAAGAGACACAGGATAGGTATTTATTATATGGTTGATTAGTAAATAAAACCCCCTAAAAGAAAAGTAATGTGATGATTGAATAGCCAAAATACCAATACTAAACCAATTAAGATCTCTTTCAGGGACTACTCTGTATTGAATACAACTACATTTACAGGGCTAAGGAGAAAGTTCTTCCTTTATAAGCATGAAGAACTAAATTTGTTACCTAGGATCCATGTTTTAAAAGAAGCCAGGGACATTGTTGTACACTTTTCATCTGAATGCTGTACAGGCAGAGGCAGGCAGATCCCTGGGGCTTACCAGTCAGCCAACCTAGCTTACTTGGCAAGTTCCAGGTCAGTGGGAAACACGATCTCAACAAAATAAGGTACCTGAGGAATACACCCAAATTTTCCACTGGCCTCCATGTACACATGTATGTACCTGCACAAACACACACATGCAAAATAAATAAATACATAAATAAAATGTATACTTATAAAGTAACATAAAAATATTAACTGCATGCTGATTATTAAGGCAGTAATTCATAATGCAGGACATTACACCACTGTCCCTGTGTCCCCAACCCTGGTCCATGAAGTACACGTGCACTGGCTCATTTAAGCATCAAAAAAATTCCTATTTTGTGCAAGAGGAGACGGCGACAGAAAGAGCTCACAAACTGTGAAACCCTTTGCTAAGAATAAACGTGAAGATATACTCATATTGAATTGAGGAAGAACTGACAGCATCAACGTAGGGTAGGGAAAGAGAACAGAGATCACCAGAAGACAGGAAAAATATTTGCAGCATTTGGGGAGCCATGTAATTTTATTTGCATAACTGTGGTTGTCTTGAAGTTTTCCTTTCTCTTTTTGTTTTTCAGCAACAAATAGAAATATCCTCCAATGCTAAGTGAAAAGATTCATTTTTCCATTGAAATAAAGATGATTAAACTTTTAATACTACTTGAGCTGAAATGACTGAGATATAAGGAAGATAATCTATATTTATAAACATATCATCTATGTATTATTGCCCAACCTAACTGTAGTGTACTGTAGTATTTTGTCAAATGTTCATTTTAACAAATACATTGATCAAACCATAGTTATTTGCATTATTCTTGTTTAAACTATAGAGAGATATACATTAAAGGTGTTTATTTTATTTTTCAGTGACTAGAGAGATGGCTCAGTAATTAAGAGCACTAGCTGCTCTTTCAGAGGATCAGGGTTTGGTTCCAAGCTCTCACATAGTGGCTAATACCTACCCATAACTCCAGTTCCATGGAATCTGATTTCCTCTTCGGGTCTCTGTGGGCATTGCATGCACAGGTACACATACATGTGGCCAAAACACTCATACATACACGTGCAAAGATGTGTGTATATACAAGCTGGCAAAACATTCATAGATATATAAATAATAAATAATTTTAAAAGATATTTTTATACAGGCTTGTTTGATTGGCAGACCTGCTGTTCAATGGATACATTACCCTATGAATCATCTAGGTAGTGAACCTATGTGGAAATATTTTGCAAGTCACCATTTACCCCTTTTTTCACAGAGAAAGGAAGGACTGTTTTGCCTGCAAAGTTTTAAAGACTGAAGTACTTTTTAAAAGGAGATTTGAAAATTTTATTAGATTAGGAGGAATTGGGAAGGGAAAAAAAAACTACAGCAAATTTGACTCAGCAGCTTAATGAAGTTCTCAAGAACCTATCTTCCCCCTTTAATGATTTAGGAGGTCAGATATTGTATGATTGGCATCCCTTTATGATCCCAAGAAGATCACAGCCTACCCATACTACTTCCTTGATCATTATTTTTTTTTCTCAGAAAGAGTAAAAGCATCATTCTGATGACCTCAGGAAAGGTCCTCCATTAAAATGGGGCAGTTTCTTCCCATGAAGTCGGGGGACAGTCTTGTCCCATCCTATGCTCTGAATCATGTCTTTATCCTGCTGAATAAATCTCTATGCCAACTGACACATTCCTGAAACAGCACCATGGAAGGGGAAAAGGATTATCACAATGAGTACAGATTCTGTTCCTGGACTGTGGTTAATTCTCCCAGCTGTGTAACAAAAAACACGGAGTGGAATCACTGTTGGAATGTTTCACAACATCAGCCAGCATCCTAGGCACCATTTCAGGTCCCCCCCCCCCCCCGCCACTCACCTTTCTCTACTACCTGAAGTCCATGTAGCATTTGTAGACTGTTACAATTCTATTTTTGCTGGTCAGAAGGCAGCTGTATTCGTTAATGGATGCTATTGAACTAGGCGGATGCCTACCTCGCCACTCCGGACTTTCCTAGAACCTAGAATCTGTTTCCTGGATTCCACATCCTTCTCCCTATAACTCCACAATTACTCCTATTGTTATGATGACAGACACAAGACAGTGTTTCCTGACTGGTGGTGAGTTTTAGCGGTCTAGGCTGGAAATAAAATCCCTGATCCTAATAGATTTCTTGTTCCAAAGAACACAATGAACCCAGAACATGTGCTGATTGAATAAAGAAACAGAGAGATGATACCAAATAACACAACTTGACATGTTTACATTTCTCCCTAACATGGCCCAGGCCCATATTTATGGAAAATGAACAGTAATTGATGATAACCATTGTTCCCTCTTCTGGCATGGTCTCGGAGTAAGTATATCTCTCTTGAGTGCTTAATCATTTAGGTATGAACATATTCATACACAGTATTGCATATGGCCATATTCCTATACAGTATTTCAAGAGAAATTTAATTCCTACATGATATTGAAATAATGAAATAGATGAAGCACAAGAAGGCAAGACAGAAGTGATTCCTAAAGAATTCTTTGGCAAGGGGAATGGAATAAGCAATATTTATTTGCTGCATATAGATTGATGACATTTGTGAGTCAAAATGCATAAAAATGCTGGGTGTGGTGGTGCACACCTTTAATCCCAGTACACTTGAGGTAGAGGCCTGCCGATCTCTGTGAATTCAAGTTCAGCCTGGTCTACATAGTGAGTTCCAGGCCAGCTGGGGCTACAGGGAGACCCCATCTCAAAAAGACAAAATTAATAAAAAACATGAAAATCCACAAATTTGAGAGAGCAAAGTTAGATTCTTTGTCCCCACTCTCAAGTGAAGGTGTTTGGATTGCAGATACACTCTGGAATCTTCCAAGTGTTCTGCTTTGGGTAGTACCTGTTGTAAGAAACTGAGCTTGAGAAAGAATTCCTTAAGGATGCTGACCAAACAAAAAGTGGGCACCAGCACAGTAGAGAGTCATCTGCATCCCATCTGTTCATGGGAATTGAAGGAAATTTGATTTATATGTACAAAAATGAAAATTTTGATAGACTAAAAAACCCACCACTAACATGGAGAATCCATGGGGGAGCCATGCATCTAATGAGTTCTCAGAATCACTAAGACCACTGCAAGAGCTCTGATAGTAACAGGCTGAGCAGCAGTCTCAGAATGGAGTCTATTTAGAACTCTTGGAATTCTTACTGAAATACTAATCTTAATCCTTCAAGACACAAATAAATGCAAGTAAACTATATTAATCATTCAAATGTATAAAATTTAGTATAAAAAAAGGAAAAATAAATAAAAATATCTCAGATTAGGTATGTCAGTCAGGAGGTAAATCTCTTTTAAGGTATTAAATAAATATCTAGTTCTAAGGCTCCGCCACAACACCAGTTTCTCATGTACTTCATGATCAGTGCTGGGCACCTGGGCAGCTGGGAAGCTCTGCTACACGTCACCTTCACTCAGGGATGCGGCACTCAGGAGTTGTCGTCTTTACACTGCCAGTTCCAAAACAGAAGTAAACTAGGCAAACTGCTTATTGACTTGTAAAATTTAGACTGACCGACATTTATTTCATTGACATCCTGTTACCCAAACAAGTAATTTGGTTGCCCCTGCCATCAAGGAGGCAAAAATACCTCCTCTCTTATTTCATTAAGTATAACTGGGTACTATAGAAACAGCATTAATGGTCACTCTTCTAAGCTAAACAGACCCTGACTGCTTCATATATTCAGAGTGATTTGGGGTAAAGAGGACGTTAGGGCTCCAAGTTGAATCCTTTATTTTACACACAGTTTTAACCTGCTTGAAACAGTTTCATTACTTGATTTCCTAACTCATAATGAATTGTAAAAAAAAAAATAAGTAGTGGAAGTGTTTGTGCTATTCTTTAGCTTGCTAGGGCTGCCATAAAAATGTATCATAAGATCGTGTGGCTTCCACAGCACAAATTTCCTTATAGTTTTGATGCAAGGTCAATGGGTTGGCAGAGTCAATTTACTCTGAGGCCTCTCTTTAGCTTGTCCCCGGCTATTTTCTCCCTGTCTTTGCTTGGTCTCCTCTGTTTACTCCTGTGCTCTGATCACTTCTGTTTACAAGTCACCAGCTCCACTGGATTAGGGCCACACTGATGACCTCACTTCAATTTAATCACTTCTTTCCAAAACCTTGTCTCCAAATACAGTCACATTCTGAGGCCCCGAGGATTAAGGTTTCAACCCCCATTCAATATAAATTATCATCTGAAATGGAATTAAAATAAAAAAGTAAGATAAAGGGCAAAACTTAGACTCAAAGGTTTAAGAAAACCCGAGAAGTAGGGAATAGTTTCCTATGTGGCAATGTAATGCTGCATTGTAAATTAATGTGGTATTTCTACAATTGGGAGGCATAAGATGGCTAGTGAGCATAGTATGTCCCCAATATATAACTGCAGTAATCTAGAGTGTGTATGTGTGTGTGAGGGATGCATACAACAAAGACATTTTGCCTTTCCTTAGATCCATATGCTTTCGTAATACTTCAGGGTATTTGTTTGTATCAGCAAGTCAAATGAACATGGAAAGCAGCTTAGAAATATGTCCTAGACTCAGGAAACAGCAGATATAAAGGCTTCAGGGAGACCCAAACTGGTATTTAAA